TTTTAGAAATTAATACTCTCCCTAGACTGCAGACCTACAGCTGTCAGGCCTCACTTGGTTTCAGAGGTTTTCTTACCCTCTTGCTGCTGCAGACGGTAGTAAAATATTAAACTGTGGTTTAATATTTGTAGAATGGCTGGAAGAAATGTACTATGACCTTGGAAGTTATTGGCTTGTGTCCTTTATACGAGTACCAGGGGTGGTTTAGGCTGGATATTAGGAAGAAGTTCTTCACTGCAAGGGTCATTGGGCATTGGAACAGGCTGCCCAGGGCAGTGGTGGAGGCACCATCCCTGGATGTATTTAAACAGTATGTTTACCTGGTGCCTTAGGGACATGGTTTAGTGGTGACCTGGCAGTGCTAGGTTAATGGTTGGACTCTATGGTCTTATAGGTCTCTTTCAAACAAAGAGATGATCCTGTGAAATCCTGGCTGGAGGACGTGTGAAGTAGCCTGCATAACAGTGCCTGTTCCACATGAATGCTCAGCTTAGGCTCTTCAGTAGAGCTGCTGGGATTTTGCTTTCAAAATCAGCTGTATAATTAATAAATTGGATGGCTTTGTGAGTGCCTGTAAGGGATGAGGGGGTTAAAGATCAGTTTGTAGAATGTAGTTTACTGATAAAATGGATTCTTCAGCTTTTTCAGAGGTCCTCGGTGTTGAACTGAGGGCCCAGGCCAACCTCATGAAGTTCAGTAAGACCAAGTGCAAGGTCCTCCATCTGAGTCAGGGCAATCCCAAGCACCAATATAAGCTCACCACTGATTGTCTTGAGAGCAGCCCTGAAGAAAAGGACTTGGGGGTACTGGTGGGTGAGAAGCTCAACATGAGCCGTCAGTGGGCACTTGCAGCCCAGAAATCCAGTCGTATCCTGGGCTGCCTCAAGAGGTGCGTGGCCAGCAGGTCAAGGGAGGTGATTCTCCCCCTCTGCTCCACTCTTGTGGGACCTCACCTGGAGTACTGCGTCCAGTTCTGGAGCCCACAATTCAGGAAAGATATAAATGTGCTGGAGCGTGTCCAGAGAAGAGCCATGAGGATGATCAGAGGGCTGGAGCACCTCTGCTATGAAGACAGTCTGAGAGAGTTGGGGTTGTTCAGTCTGCAGAAAAGAAGGCTCCGAAGAGACCTTATTGTGGCCTCCCAGTATCTCAAGGGGGCTACAAGAAAGCTGGGGAGGGGCTTTTTAGGATGTCGGGTAGTGATAGGACTAGGGGGAATGGATTGAAGCCAGAGATGGATCGGTTCGGATTGGATGTTAGGAAGAAGTTCTTCCCCAGGAGGGTGGTGAGACACTGGCACAGGTTGCCCAGAGAGGTGGTGGAAGCCCCATCCCTGGAAGTTTTTAAGGCCAGGCTGGATGGGGCTCTGGGCAGCCTGATCTAGTGGAGGATGGCCCTGCCCATGATGGGGGGTTGGAACTAGATGATCTTTAAGGTCCCTTCCAACCCTGACAATTCTATGATTCTATGAACTTCTGTCATCTCTGTGTCAAGAAGAATGTGTTTTGGTCAACAATATCAAGCATTGCAAATAGGAAAGTAGGTTTAGCCTCTTCTCTGCTGACTGAGATTATCAATTTCATATCAGTAATTTAATCTGACTTTCATATGAACTCCAGTTAGAGTATCAGCTTTAATTTAGTTTTCTATCTAGCTTCTTCAGCTTGGTGAAGAATGACAAGATGCTTGTCAAGAGTAGAAAGATCCACTGTATGCAGGAGTATTAGGTTCTTCACTGTTGATAGTTCATTATGGTACGCTTCAAGTGTAAAAACAAAAAAATATTCCTCTGGGGCACTGGCAACAGTTGGCAGGCATAATGCAGTTTATGTGGCTGGAGGGTTTAATGTTAAGGTTGTGGTATTTGAGGATGAATGAATATGCTGATTCTGGGAGTACAGGTGGATTGTTGGTTGGTGTATGAGTCACAGCCACGCTGCTAGAGAAGATTTCCAGTTGTGATCTCTTTATGAAGGTAGAATAGTTCTTTCAGGGGCCTGGCTGGATGCAATCTGGGAAGGATTTCTGTTTGACTCTTCCCTCTTAAGGAAAGTCTGAGCGGTTAGTTTATGCTAGTAGAGGTTAGTTTATGCTCCCTGTGAACGTTTGGCTTTTTAACCAAATGCACAAATATCAATCATTTTGAGAGATCTTCATAATTTTTTGTCTTATCACACTTCACTTATTTGTTATTGATGATATCTGTGCACCTCCATTTTTTATGCTGCTTGAAAGACTTTTAGGTATGGCTTTCAATAGGCCCACATTTATGTTAAATATTGTTAATAGGACCTTAAAGGAAAACAGTTTATGCTTTTAATTAAAGCATTTGTGTGCAGTTATATAATTGAACTTAAGTGTTCTCAAAGTTTGCCCTGCTTTTGTCTACCAGCTGAACTATTTTGCCATCATAAGGGAAGCCCAACTATACTCTACCAACATTCTGGAAAACCTGTTACTAAGGGAACAGTGTTTTATTTTTTTAATTTTTCCTTCGGGAAAGCAGAAGCTTTTTCTGACTCAGAAGCTGCTGGAAATGAGCCAAGACGTGGAATTCAGCAGGCTTCTTGGGGGAGGTTAGGACTTCTCCAGGAAAACAGAATGTACTGGTGTATGCTAGCAGAATTACTGTTTGGAGTCTAAAATACAAGAAGATAACATTAAAAATAAGTTCAAGCGGTTTAAAATACACTGTTTATGTGAACTGAGTTATACAACTAACACAGTTTTGCCTGCATATGTTTCTAGGGCCAAAAATAATTATCTTTGCTGATTTCTTAGATGTTCATGAGTTCGAATGTTAAACTAATATTTGGGGTTTGTTTTCCTGTCCTCTGCTCCTTAGTTTCTGAAGTGAGGGGTTTTCAGAGTTGCTCTGAACAGTCATAGGGCTGCCTGGTATTAAACTCTCACATTTATGCTACACATGTCCATTTGTCTGACAGAGTCATCACTGCTTTGCAGCTTGCTGAGGAGCACCAGCTCTAAGACAGGAGGAAGATCTGAACCTGCTAAGCAGTCACTTAAGAAACCGAAGTTACCACTAGGTCGATTTGATGAACCAGAGGAGTCCAGTATAGAGAGGGAATCCCTGGAAAGTAAGTTGTGTTTTACAAAATCGAAAGCCGTGTTTTAAAGGCAAGACCCTGAGATGAGAGGCTGATGTCAGTTTAAGAAGAGGGGTGGGCATTCAGCACTCCTCAGCATCCCTTTGGAAGCTTGATGGTTCTGAAGATGAGAGAGGCAGAACAGTGGGCACAAATTGTGGCAAATAATGTATGAGGGGAAAAGTCTTCAGAACAAGGGTGGTCAGTCACCCAGAGGGTCTGTGATCCCTCTCTTCCTGAGGGAAATTTGCCTGCATGTCCTCACTTAATGCCAGCCTTGCTTTGAGCAGAATTGGGGCCAGATACCCGACAAAAGCACCTTCCACCATAAATCATTGCACAATTCTGAGAAACGTTGCTGTTGTTGATTCTGGTACAGCTATAAGTGGTGGTAGTAAACTCATGAGGGCACCAGCTACTTATTAGTCAAAAAGCCCATTCTGTTTCCTAGGCCACAGAAGATTTCTGATTGGTGCTGTGGTTTTGTGGTCAGTCTTTCTCTTAGTCTTGCAGGTCGTGTTTTGAAAAGCAACAACAGATACTGAGCTTACTGAGCCGCTCGGTGGGGTCCCCAGAGACCTAATGAACCGATGTGGCTCTTGCTTTCCAGTGACCTTACTGGGGTTGCATTTAGAGAACCTGGCAAGATTGAGGCACAGATACATAGCTGCTGAAGTCACTAGAAACATGCTTTTCTGTCAGAGAGGAGAAAGACAGAATTTCTTTTTTACTTCATTTTAATTAGCTGTCTTCCCTTAACTAAAAGTGTTAGTCATGCTTTCTCTTACTTGCCGTAGTGTGATTATCTGCTAGAGTTTAGCAGTAGTGATAACCTGTGTTTATCTATTTCGAGGTCTCTAGGACAAGCTTTTTTAAGATATCAATTGATTACTATGAATATCCAGATCACAAAATGAGTGAAAAAGTAGAGTATCATCCACAAAATGGTTGCAAGCAATTCCAGACTGTGACTCACTTGAGAACTGACTCAGAGTTGGAGTTACTGTACAAGCAGCTATTTAATTCTTGTCCTTTTGTTCCCAAGAAAATAAATGCCATCACTGCTTCATTAAAAACAAATGTATAATTACTATCTTTTCCTTTTTGCTTAGGTGTTCTAGGTTTAGAGCAAGACTCAAGGTTTCTTTTGGCTTTAAATTTAATTGTACCTGTGTATTTTTAACATGTAACACTGGCAATAGTTTGTTAGAATGCTGACTGCCCCTTGCATTATTAGGAAAAAACAGAAGAGTTTAAACTGTCTTTTTGAATTGCCACTGCTGTGTAGCTATCGTGGAGAAATCTTTTGAGCTTCTGCATCTGCTGTCAGCACATCGGTGGTGCTTGGATATTGGGATGATGACACCACAAAATAGTTAGATGCATTTTTGCTCCTTGTACTGCCAGAGATGCTCAAACACTGACATTTCCTATCCTGATCTGCATGAATTTTTAAACACACATCCCATATGTGTGTTTTAATATGTCACTCCTTATAGCCTGTAGCTACATGACTCTCCTTCCATCAGTCTCCTTTTTCTCCAGGATTTCTGTTGTCTTTTCTTATTTTCAGCCTTGTTTCCCATTACTTGTATTGCCCAACAGGGATGAGTTAGGGATACAACTGAGGGAGCCCTCAGTTAAGTGTGTGTATGAGAGGCTCTGGAGAATCAGTGTGGCCAGGGAATGTGTGGGACAGGGGGAGCTACAGGGAGCCCCGCAGTCTAGTGCAGGATGAGAAGACTCTTTAGCCTGGGGTGGTGCTGTGCCAAACAGTACTTCATGGCTTGGACAGGCCTTAGTGGGATGGTCGTTGTGCAGCATGGGTGGCCTGAGTTACTACTCTTATGAGAGGGACCTGAGTAAGGGACTACTGAGTAGTGTAAGGGTGTTGACTGTGATATGCAGAACTCTGTGGTGTTGGAGTAGGTGGCATAAGCTAGTAGGGTGCTGGGAACAGAAGCTGAAAGCCCCATTCATACTCAGCTTACTAAGAGTCTCCCTCTCCTGAAAGGACATGACAGTGGTTTAGTGAGCTTAGGTTAAGTGTTTAGAAGGTAAAAGCTCTAATTTTAGCTGTTCAGGATTTTATAGTATCTCCTGTGACTGTGGTAATAGGATCCTAGCTAAAACTCAAGCTAAAATTAAAATTGAAGTGTCTAAAATAAGAGACTTAAACACAGAAAGTGACCTGGTGTTGGAGATGTAGTGAACATCTGTACAGCACACCAGAATGATGCAAGTTCTCGCTAAGAATTCCTGAGAAACTCTGGTGCGTTAGTGCCTTTGGACATTGAATTGCTTTCTTAATTGCATAACTGAATATGATCATATATATTGCTGACTGTAATTAAAAAACTGTCTGGAATTCCTTTTCTATGACTCTGGGAAGTGTTTAACTCAAGGGTGCATTTAAAAACCAAAGAGAATTGATTTTGGATTTGAAAATGAAACTAAGAGGAAGACATCATAGATGTGACATCTTTATATTTGTCAGCATTACAGACATTTTAATGAACTTTCTTTGTGTTTTTAGAATTCCCTGATGGAATCAATCCTGCTACAAAAGAGAGAGGTGGACCTAAAGGCCCTGAACCTACACGTTTTGGAGACTGGGAGAGAAAAGGACGTTGTATAGATTTCTAATAGATAAATGTGTCTTGTGGTGCTAGTAAAATGTTTCTGTGAAGATTGGAAGTAGAAACATGTTATGTACAGAAAAATCTCACCTGGATTTGTTGTGAAACTTTTTGTTTCTGTTGTGCTTGTGATGAATTTTCTGAGAGATATTATGTAAATAAACGTGATGCTGCAACAGAAATTTTGAAGCTGTTATTTGCTCAGTCTATGCATGATCTTTGATGCTGCTTACGCTATGCAAGTATAAATGCAAACATAGCGATGTGAAGCTGTTAGTCAGGATCTGACTGAGATACATAAGGGCTTGTATTGATTTATGTATTTAAACATCTATGTAGTGTCTTAAAAGTGCTGAAAGAGCTGTGCAATTCATGAACCTTGGTACCATTCACAGAAGTACAGCCACCTCCAAGGAGATGGGTGCTTGGCTGTTCTTGGCATTTAGCACAGTGGTTCCTCAGTAAAAGCCCCCGAATCAGGAACCATCGTGTCTGTGTCCATTAGAGAGGGTTGGACTTTCCTTCCTGGTTGAGAAGGGTAGAAAACTCAGTTTTCTCTCCCCTCAGAGGGACGGCTGTAAATGGCGTAATGGAAATGGAGGCTTAACTGCGAGAGGGTCAGCCTGTGACTGCAGGCAGCGTGGGACTGCTCTGTGTGCAGTTGCAGAATACGGTTCTTTATAGCCTAGCTTATGACATGCTGCTTGCATTATCTTCTCGGTTAGTGGAAGTGCCTGTTGGAAAACTGGCTCAGTGATGCTTGGGGAAAAAGAACATTACTTTCTGACACCTTATGGTCAAAGAGGGCTAATTACATTAGACGATCCAATATTGCAGGTCTTAAAACTAAGCTATTTGTCATTGAACTAAACATCTTTCAGTCAGACTGAGCTCAGTTCTTCATTCGAGAATTTGCCTGGTGGTAAATACTGTAGTAGAGAGCAAATCTGTCACTTGTGTGGATACTTATAATAAGAATAAGCTGTCATTATTAAAATGTGTGAACATATGCTCTTACTTATTTCTGTGCAAGTTCTTTTTGATAGCCTAAACAAATGGAGCTTCTCTAGTCTGCAACTGTAAATCTTTTCTTTGTCCCCTTTGTGTTTCCTTCCTGGCGTTCTGCTGATTTTTCAACCTCCTCTTTTGCTCTACACACTTCAGCTTATATATTCACAATTCCTGTTAGCTGCTTTTACCACAGCAAAATGCAGTGGGCATTAGAACTGAACAAAAGTTTCTCGGAGACCCCAGGACAGTCTCCTGCTTTATGGCCTACGTATCTTTTGGGTATTTTACTGCGGGTATTTTTGCTTTTCACTATTCCAAAGCAAGTTGTACCTGAACGACAGTAAGCTCTACTTTGTGATTTCTGTTGTTCTGCATTGCTCTGGCTCTGCTTTAGAAGAATGCATGGCTTTGCCCAGATTTGCCTTTTGCATGGTTTTATTAAAGTGTGTTAGTCCTATCACAAATCCGTACAACCTCCCTAAAACCTACCAGCCAGTGGGGGGAGCTCCTCACGGGTAATCTGCCTATTTGTATACCTGACCTGTGTTTATTGACATGGTATCGTGCTGTTTGCAAATTGTTTGGCTCCTTGCCAGGGTGCCCTACGGCAGCACTGAGCCTGTTCAGTTGGGTTTGTAAACCAAATGCCTTGTTCGCTAAAGCCAGTTTTTCCTAAAAGACGTTAACCAGTGGCAATAACATTGTGAACCTTTAATCTTGTATTAATTTAAATTCTGCAGCATGGTCTGGATATCAGAAGGTTGGTCTGTATTTATACTCAGTTCTTTATAGTTTGCATTCTGTAGTGTGACAGTTACATTTGCCCAAAATCTACTGACATTTTCAGCTACCTAAAGATATGCTGGGTCAGCTATCTTTAAACTTTAATATATGCTGTTTATTACAATGCTGATTCCTAGAAATGCTTTGCCTCTTCAGTTGCTAGTGGGTTGGAAAATACTTTGTCACACAATATACCACGTTTTCAAAGAGGAAGCAGAAATTTTAATTGGAAACTGCGATCTTTTGTGCAGCATTATTAAATAGTCTTAACAGCTTAATTAGTGAAGAGGCTACTGCACTACTGCACCTATTTTGTTATTGAATTCGAAACCTTATTTTCCTTATCCAGGGGTTGTTGCATGAGTTCATTATCTTCTCTTGCCAGGTTTTACCTTTCCCACCATGTGCGCTGTAAATGTTTACCTAGTTCCACTTCTTGGCATTCCTTATTTTCGGTTCCAATTTCTGCCTTCGGCACAGACTGCAGCTGCAATCCTCCCAGGCTGCAGAATCGCTCCTTCTCGGTGTAGCATAGAAAGAACTGGTCTCACTTTTCCATGGTTTTCATTTCAATTATTTTCCTCAGTCTCCCCCTGCTTTGTGCCTGAGGGCTGATCTGAGCCCTGTCCAGGCCCCCGTGTGTCTTCTTTCAGGCTGGGAATGATAGGTGCTGCCAGAGCTCAAGGCAGGTCCCCAGCCCTCCCTGCCTGAACCTATCGAGCACGTGGACTTGGAAGATACTCCTGAGATCGCTCTCAGTACTGACGAGACAGAGGGCCTCACAAAGGCAGGGATTTTGCTTGCTTTCCACAAATAAAAAGGCTCCTGCTAACCGAGGCTGTGAGCAGCTGTCAGGCAGTCGGCAGTCAGGAAACGGAGGACACCACTTCTTTCCAGAGGGGCTTCAGGCCCTTTTTACCACTTCCCAGGCCGGTGCTGGTAACCACCAAGTGTTTGCTTAATTTTGTTAGGGAACATGTAAATAAAAGATAAGAAACCGAACATGGGGGCACGTTAACAGCCAAAGAGTGAACGCCAAGGGGCCTGTTTGTGTGGTGGCAATCTGGCATTTGCCAAAAGAGAGGAGCCCTTGGCTCCGGTAATAATTGAGTCCAAAATAACATCCTGTGGTGCTGCAAAATCACTTGTCAAAACCAGTCATGGTTTGAATGCAATAACCGATACAATGATATTGTAGGGCATAAATGGTAGATTCTGTTTTGTTTTCTTGCAGTGTCTGCAGTTAGGAAAAGAAGCACTTCAGCACTTTTTCAGTGCTGTCTTCCTGCTCTTCCCAAATGATTAATATTAGCAATTCACTGGGATATAGCATTAGGGTAAAACAATGGTTTGTGGCCTTAGCCATTAGATTAGCAACAGGTATGTTTTTATCATAAATACTGATCAAATCTATTTTGTTGGCTCTCTTTGTTAGTGTAACAGTGTAAAGCAGCAGGGGTTGTATCCATTTTCTGTTAAATTTTTGGAACACAGGGGAAAATTGTTCTGCCCGCCTAAGCAAATTCTTATAGTACTAGAGGATGCTTGCTCCTCCATTTTTTCTTTACTAAAAAGCTGCATGTTGTGGCTCTGCGGTAGGTTTTTTCCTTTTAAAACTAATTTCTGCTAGTTTGCATAGATGCATTTGGCACATTATTAAAATTACGAAGCCTTTATTGTCTGAAGGAATTGCTCTGTAATTACTTTATTCCAAAATATATAAAGTTGCACTCTACAGTTAATGTTTTCTATATGATGCCTTATTTGGAAACCTAATTG